TATATATTTTTTGAAGTACAAAAAAAAAAAGCAACAAAMCTGAAAAAAGGCTACTGCCAATGCGCCTACCTCAGTTGGTACACCCATTAGTGAYTGAAATATGGACCCAAGTTCGGATCCACATGCAGCCAGATCAACAGAATATAAAATACTTCTTAGACTACCCGGGGCTGGTCAGTTAAGCCACCAGCACTTGGCCCATTCATCGGCCACAGGAAAAAATAGAGTAGAAGCGTTTGTAGTCGCATGAACTAAATTTGGGTGCTYCCCTAGTGGCCTGCTCGTTCAATCATTGTCACGGCTTGTTAACCGCCGAGACCTTGGGAAGTACTGGTGGTTTAAGTAATGATACCTCAAATTCGTTGCCCGTCTTTCTTAACAAAAAGAAAAAGAGAAAAGGCTGTCAGAGGCCACGACCTGATTACAACATTGACCAAGATCTAGCTCAGCGTTAAGTTTTCAACCACGTGTCATGTTTGGCACAGAGCCCCGTCTTAGGGATATATTCAGCTCGAACCTGTTATTAGATTTGATGTATCATAAATCATTCTCTGGATTATTTTATCCCTTATCATCCTTTTTCTTGCATGCTTTGGCCCTTCTGGTTTGGGTGGGAACCGGGATTTCCATTGACTCAGGGCCTCACCACACCACCGTCGAAAAGGGAAGAGAACGAATGCATTACCCGCAGAAAGTGGTAAGATGCATCCGTTGGTATTCATAGTAACCGATGCATCGTGCCCTTCACTGTGGGAAGATGCATTTGTTGTTTTTCCGTTTCGACCGTGGTGTGGCGACCCCCAGAGAGTGTTGATGGTATGGTCGGCCATGAAGCCTCAAAACTCCCTCCCTCTTTTTTGCAATGGGTGATAAATGCACCAGGCCATCCATGCTATCCACGTTTGTTTCACTAAATCATGAAGTCCGCAATTTACCTGTTCAAAACTATCGGCAAAATCTTTATGCAGCATTTTGTTTCTTTAATTAAAAAAAAAAGAAAAAAAGAGCTACAGCCTTGAGATATCATCATTTGGCCAGACCGGCCCCAGGTGATTCAGAATTGCAGTATTTTATTTTATTCATCTGCTCTCACTGGAGTTCGAACTCAGGTCTGTGTTTCAACAGTTCAGTGGTGTACCAACTGAGCTAGAGGCCTAGGGCAGTTGGTAGCAGCATTTGTTTCATTTTTTGAGAAATTTTAATTTGTTTTCATTTATTTTGTCTTTTCTGTTCACAATAACTGTGCTGCACACGCGAGTGATTTGATTAAAAAAAAAAAAAAACTGCTACCCTTGAGCTAGTTGCACTCAATGGTGTAAGTGGGACCATGCCCCAGTTCTGGACAAAAAAGTCTATTAACGAACTTTGTAGTCGGACTCCTTTCTTTTCGGGGACAACTGCTACTCAGTCAAGATCCATGTTCTCTTATTCAGGCAAATAAAACTCGTGCAGGCAGTTTAGTCACGGGACTCATGGCCTACAGTTTCCAAGGCCGCAATGGAAACTTCAGGCCGGCGGAAAAGTCGAGATGACGAGTTCTACGAGCGAAATGAGAAAAAGGCCAAGGTGCACTGAATCTAGGGCCCTGGTCAGTTCCATGGCGATGGGCATGGCAACGCCACAGATAAAACAAAAGAGGAGGACACAACTGTCCGAGTTCACAAACTAGTGTATTTTCCCCTCTTCTGTGGGAAGACGCACTCTTTTTTTTGTGTCTAGCACTTCCCAGAAAAAGTAAAATAAAAAATATAGCTCTCTCTCTCTCTCTCTCTCTCTCTCTCTCTCTCTCTCTCTCTCTCTCTCTCTCTCTCTCTCTCTCT